GTTGAAAGCGGGAACGCACGAGGGAAGGTCACGACGTTGGTTCGCGAGACAGCCTGGTATGACGTGACGAGAGGAAAACGCTTTGGTGCACTTCCATCGCGAGTATTCCAGAAAGGAAATCCACCATGAGAGCGTCTCGAGTAGCTGCGCTGTTGATCCTCTGTTGCGCCATCGGTGAGTCGAGTTTCTTAATACTAGCGCGTTTCCACGCGATTACCGTTTTTCCGATAATTTCTTCCTCGAAACAAATCCGTTTACGTCGAGGTCCCTCTCGAGCTTCTTTCGCTACTCTCGTCGAGACTTCTCGACCGATCGGATCCATAGATCGCCACGTTTGCAATAGGAAAATGCCGCGAAGCGAGTCGTCCGACCGCCACGCGCTAACTTTTCCAACCGTGTCGTCATATAGCAAATTGATTCAATCTCGAGTGATTGCCGCGCGTCACCGATTCTCGCGCGTTTCGTCGATGCTCGCTGTTACGGACGGACACTCGTATCGTAAACCAAGATTAATTGCACTTTCACGGTCGATCGGCGTCGCAATTGCTTTATAAAAGAAATTAAATTGTGATTTATACGTCTGATTTCGAGCGTGGTTAGTGGTGTGTTCCTTTTAAGGAGTTGCTCCAATCAGGACGCCGTTTTAAGGCCGTTTACTTTCTCGACCGTAAGATGTAAACTCGTAGAACGCGTAGCCTTGGCGGACGCGACCGCGAGCGTACGCGCGAAATTAGGTGAAAGCCGGTTCGCAAGCGAAAAGGTAGAATTTCGTTGGAAAGACGAATGCGTGACAACGATCGGCGGATAATTAAATTAGCCGTTAGGCGCGGGGGTATCGACGGTTAGAAATGTCGCGTCGTTTCACGCAACCTTTCGATAGACCGTAGAGGCAGCGTTCGAGAGGCCACGTTCGCCGAAGGATAAATTTAAAACGAACGAAACACGCGCGCTGCTGCTACGTTTCGACTCTCCGAACCGGCACGGCCTATGCTCGAAAAGGTTAAAGATCGATCGTCTCGGCAGATACCGCACCGGCGAGCCCTCGCTTTACGTCCGTCTCTTATCCGAGTAACGCAGTGCCGCCTCGCGTCGTCGTTGTCCGAATACGTCGAATAAAGTCGAAACAACCTTGTGTACACGTAGCCGTATTTAATCGCCAACGAGATATATCCTTCCGCGACATATTCTCTTCTCGTAGGAAGATACACGCCGCGTACAATTGGAATTACCGTCGCGCGTTCCTCCTACCGTAATTACGTCAGTTACAGTGCTTGTTGCAGTCGCTAAGGAAAGTCGGTGCCGCGACGTCGGTGCGGTGACGCGAGATCGCGACGTAAAAGCGTAATCCGTTTTAAAGCGGAAGCGCCTGAAACGTTCCGAATGAAAAGTTGCCGGCCGGTTTATCTACCGGTGAAACAAAATCGTCGATAACGTTCGTCGATTCGTTCCTCGTCGGAGGAGTAGCCTTTTTTTTTTGTTGGAATTAGTCGGCGGAGCGACGAATCTCGGCGATCGTAACCTCGTGTAATTGGTACGGTGTTTGATACGCGCGTCTGTATGCGAGCAACGATTCTTGGCCATCTGTGTGTCCGATTTGATTCGCAGATACGCTCCGCTTAAAACGTACGATTTGTTGGGAAAACGGACGATCGGTTCTCGGAGAGGGCATCGGTTCGGCCGAAACAGAGCAGCACCGTCACGTTCCTACTCTTGCCACCGTTTAACGTTTCGTTGCACCGCGAGATCGATGCTCGTTAGTGGGATCGCGTGAAATCCGTTTAAAGGATATACCGTACAGTACGATAGGTTTCTCGTTGCCGCTCCTACGATCGATATTATTCGCTGCTTCTCGCCGATCGATCGAAATAGGAGCTTACGCTCACCTCGATGCGATAATCGACCAGGCGTTGCAGGCGTCTGTTGCGAACATCCTCGTACAGCGTAAAAATATTTTCACGTTCCGCGTCATGCATATTTTTACACGGCGCGTCAGTCACACGCGAGCGGTCGGCTTTCGGCTGCGCGACGTTAAATGCGACCCGGTGAATTACCACGTAAGGAGTATTGGATTCTGCTGCGTTCGGAGCCGAGCCGAGCCGAGCCGAGCGCTTGATAATGCCGGCAATGGATCTCGGATTTCGCTTCGGCTCGCGTAACGTTTCGTGCGGAACGCGTCAAGTGGAAACGAAACTGGAATAGCTACATCGAACACGGTCGAGCCTTTAATCCCGTTTTCTACTAATCCTGTTTTTCCTCGCAAATGCTCGCGAGCCACGTTCGCCCTGTTCCGATCGTATTCGACGCGTGCGAGCGTTTAACGCGCCTCTCGCGGCATCGGCATCGAGAAAAACGAACGGAAAGAAGAAAACGAGTGGAGGAAAAATCCTTGTTTGCGATTGCCCGATGGCTTACAGACGGCTATAACTCATGCACCGGTGAAACTTTTGCCAGTTTAGCGAGCGACGGAGAGAGAAGAGACCGAGTCGCGTTGTCAGGCCGATCGATTTACGATGAAAATAACGGAATCGGTAGCTTATGGGTCGGCGGAAGGAGCGAAAGGAAAGTGGAAAGAGCGTAAAGGCAGTCGATCGCGAAAGGTCGATCCATGGAACTTTGTCGTCGACATCGGTGAGAAGTGGCGGAAAATCGTGTAAGGAGAAAAGTTGGATCGCCGTCTCCGTCGCTTCCACGGACAATGGATTTTATCGTTGGTTGTAATTCTCGGTCGTATCGGTGTACGCTTCTCGTTTCTCCTTTCCCTCTTTCTCGTCCCCTTGCTCGCAACTTTTCATCGCGACAGCCTGACAAACGTGTTGCCACCAAATTTCCCGTTATCCGAACTGCGAGTTCCGGCGAATTTAAAGAATCGTTAGCCGAGGTTAAGTGGCGCTCAACCAGACTAAACTAGTTCGATTCGTCGAAGCGTTATCGGGCGAAACGAAAGCAGAATGCGCCTGCCTCTGTACGAGCAGGTTGCCCGGCCTCCGTGTCAGCTGCGATAACTTAATTAGCGGATCGACGCAAATCGGATTAATGCGTCTTGCAGCTGCACGATACCAACAAATCTTGGTTAAACTCGGTATCTTAATGGCTTTAAGATGTCAGAACTGGCGCGGCCTGGTTTGAGGTTTCCTTCGCCAGGCCGTTTGTTGCCGTGTTACGTTTGATACGTCATAAAGGTTCGCGGAACAGCGAGTTTCCTCCTTGTCAGACGCAACGCCACATCGTAGCGCGATACTCCGGATATCCTCGTTTCCTCTCTCGTCGGCAGAGATCATCGAGCTTTCGAGAGTACGGGCCGGTTCGTAGAAAAATTAAGCGGCTTTTCGATGGAACGCGTTTTACCTTTCAATCGTCGCACGAAGGATCGTCGATCGAAACGCGTCGACGAACTTAAAATTCCAGCGGCGATTTCCGCTCCATCTTTGTCGACCGAACGATTACGCGAATTCGGGATCGGTCGCGTATGACTCGAATCGATAATCAACCGGTGTTAGGGCGCGGTAGTCGAGCGATTCTCTAAAAAATCGACCCGCGGAAACAACGCTCGGCTAAGAGTCGTTTATCGTGCTTCGGACCTCGGTCATGTACCTTTCTTGAAAGCCAGAATTCCGTTCGGTGGTCTCCGGGCTTCGTTCCTATCGCGAACCCAACGATTATTTCTTCACGCGTCGTTCGTCTCGTCGTTTGCTCGTAGCCAGTAGCGAATCGTCAGCCTCTCGACGTTCCACGCCGATCTATTTTTCGTCGAAACGGAACCATCTTCCCGTGGTATCGCGCGGTCGCGTTTGAACATTCGTCAGCAGGCACGAACCATTAAATCCGACCCGATTGTTAGCGAGCTGCTGCCGTTGCAGCTTGAAAACGTGTACAGTACTCGCCGTCACCGTCGCCGTCTCCCTCGTCACCGGCGTCGTCGTC